TCAATTCCTGGAGCCTTCTTCTTAGCCATTTCCTTCAGTGTAGCTTCAACTTCTTCCTTCGATACCATTGGTTCCTAATCATATGCCACCTCCTGAAATGGATGAAGATTGACCAGTTCTTTTTGGTACAATGACTCTGTGTATTCTTTTCATCTTTTTTTTTTTTTACATATTTATTTATTTATTTAATATTAATGCATTTTATTGAAATATAATTTATGTACAATGAAATACACAAAACTAAAGTGACATGAGGAGCTCTGGTAGTGTAGTGCTTAAGGCACTTGACTGCTAACCAGAAGGCTGGCAGGTCAAACCCACCAGCCACTCTTCAGAAGGAAGGTTGGGCAATCTACTTCCGTAAGTGATACTGCCTCGGAAACCCAAGGAGGGGTCTTTATGGGTTGAGTCCGGCTCAATGGCACAACAACAACAACAACAAAGTGAAATGAGTCAATGCATTTTTTTTTTTCAGTGTTCCCTCCCCTCCCCTTCCACCTAGGCAACCAACAAAGAATGTTTCCCTGCATATATAAACCTTACCTTGACCCTCCACAACAATGAACTAATACTTTATTTGTCCTTCTGTGATTGACTTATTTCACTCAGCATAATGTCCTCCAACTTCATCCATATTATGCGGTGTTTTGCAGACTCTACATTATTCTTCAGTACTGCATAGCATTCCAGTATGTGTATGTACCATAGTTTGGTCATCCACTCTTCCTCTGATGGGCACACATGTTGTTTCCATCTTTTTTCCTATTGTAAATAGCCTTTCATCTTCTTTTGATGCTTTCTGCATCATTCAATATTTTGCCCATAGAATCTTTCAGGATTGCAACTTGAGGCTTGAATTTTTTCCTCAGTTTTTTCAGCTTGAGAAATGCCAACTGTTCTTCCCTTTTGGTTTTCTAACTCCAGGTCTTTGCACATTTCATTATAATAATTGGCTTTGTCTGCTTGAGCTGCTCTTTGAAATCTTCTGTTCAGCTCTTTTATCTTGTCATTTCTTCCATTGGCTTTAGCTGCTCTCCATTCAAGGGTAAGTTTCAGTCTCTTCTGACATCCATGTTGGTCTTCTTTTCTCATCTTTTTAATGACCTCTTGCTTTCTTCATGGGTGATGTTCTTGATGTCATCCCACAATTCTTCTGGTTTTCAGCAATTGGTGTTCAATACATCAAATCTATTATTTAGATGGTTTCTAAATTCAGGAGGGATATATTCAAGGTCATATTTCGGCTCTCGTGGACTTATTTTAATTGCTTTCAACTTCAAGTTCAGCTTGCATATGAGCAGTTGATGGTCTGTTCCACAATCAGCTCTTGGCCTTGTTTTGGCTGAAGATATCGAGCTTTTCTATTAACTCTTGCCACAGATGTAGTCAGTCTGATTCCTGTGTACTTCATCTGGCAAAGTCCATATGTATAGCTGCCGTTTGTGTTGTTGAAAAAAGGTATTTGTGATGAATAAGTTGTTGGTCTTGCAAAATTCTATCATGTGATCTCCAGCGTTATTTCTGTCACCAAGGCCAAATTTTCTAACTACTGGTGATTCTTCTTTGTTTTCAACTTTTGCATTCCAGTCACCAGTGATAATTAACACATCTTGATTGCATGTTTGGTCAATTTCAGACTGCAGAAGTTGATAAAATCTTCAGTGTCCTCATCTTTGGCTTTGGTGGTTGGTACATAAATTTGAGTAATAGTCTGGTCTTCCTTGTAGGCTTATGGATATTATCCTATCACTGACAGCACTGTACTTAGGATAGATCTTGAAACATCCTTTGTGATGATGAATGCCATGCCATTCTTTGTCAAACTGTCATTCCCGGCATAGTAGATCATATGGTTGTCTGATTCAAAATGGCCAAAACCAGTCCATTTCAGCTCACTAATGCCTAAGATATCAATCTTTATGCATCCCACTTAATTTTTGACAACTTCCAATTTTCCTAGATTCATACTTTGTACATACCATGTTCCGATTATTAATGGATGTTTGCAGCTGTTTCTCAATTTGAATTGTGCCACGTCAGCAAATGGAGATCTCAAAAGCTTTATTTTATCCATATCAGTAAGGTTAGTTTTACTCTGATGAGGCAGCTCTTTCTCAGTCATATTTTGAGAGCCTTCCAACCTAAGGGGCTCATCCTCCTCCACTGTATCAGACAATGTTTCTGGGCTATTCATAAAGTTGCACAGTAATATATCAGGCAGTGTTTCTCTGTTATTCATAAGGTTTTCCCTGACCAGTTCTTTGAGAAGTGGATGGCCTCTTCCTTCTTCCTAGTCTGTCTCAGTCTGTAAGCTGCATTGAAACCTGTGCACCATGTGCAACACTGCTGGGGTTTGAAACTTCGGTAGCGCAGCCTCAGGCTTCATAGCAACACACAAGCCACCACAGTATGACAAACTGACAGACAAGTCTGTCTCCCTTAGCTGTTTAAAAGCTCTCCACCCTCCCCTTACCTGGATCCCTGCCACTGTTCCGTCTGTCATCCCCCTGGCTTTTCTTTTCCCCTCTGCTTTCCTGCCTCTTGGGGGTGAAGCCTGGGTCTCTCCCCTTACCTGGATCCCTATTGCTGCTTGTTCTGCATCTCCCTGACTTTTCTCCACCCTCTGCGCCCCTCCCCCCGCCTGCTTTTCCCCATAGTGATACTGCCTCAGAAACCCAAAGAGGGGTTGCTATGAATGGGGTTCTACTCCAGGGCAGTGAGCATCAACCCAAACCAACTGTGTTAGAATCTCAGAGTGCAGGGGTTGTAAAGCTGAATTTTTAACAAGCTGCAGATGATTTTGGCTGGCACAGACAGTTAAGTGCTCAACTATTAGCTGAAAGGTCGGTGGTTTGAACACACCCAGAGGCACCTGGGAAAACAGGCTTGGAGATATGCTTCTTAGAGATCACAGCCTTGAAAAGCCCTATGGAGCAGTTCTGTCCTGCACAAGTGGGGTCACCAAGAGTCAGAATCAACTGCAACTGACAACAACCTGATGATTCTTATGTACACTGAAGGTTAGGATTACTGTGCTTTGTTAAAAGAATCAGTTACGTCTTCCATTATTTGTAGCACTTGAAAGAGCCAATCTTCTACTCTTTGTAGTACTTTGTCCCATATTTTGTGAGTTCCTGGACCCCTAAGCTCTAGAAATGCCAGTTCTTTTAAACTGTAAGGCCTTATAATGATAATCCAATCAGTTTTACACTGTGTTACAAGAAAGAAGAAATCTGAGTCTCCTAGGTCCTGCGGCAAGGATAAAGAGTAATACTTTGGCAAACCCCTCTGCACCAGTGTTCTCCCCACCCAACCATTACCACCACCCTCAGTCTGGTTTTAACCTAACCAAGGCTACAACCTGAAATCTGACAGCTCTAGGAACATCAGGTCCTGTTTACCAGTTAAGGTAAATCCTGGAGTCAGCCTCAGGATTCATCCAACCTCTATACTGAGCAAGTCTGAGGTATACTCAGGAGCTCGGAGATATGCTAGACTTACCCCTACCCTCAATAGCCCAAACGCTACCTAAAGTAGACTCAGCCTTTAAGAATAGTCCTTCAACTATTCGCAAGGGATCCTCTAAACTGAGGGGGAACTGAGGTTAAGCCAGACTTATACCAGAGAAATGCCCGTCTTGGCAGTGTCAAAAGAAACGTAATCGATAATAATAAGATTTATCTATCAGATGAGGTTTATTCGGGCAGAAGATTCACAAATTAGGTAACACCAAACCACATGTGGAAAGGTACTCCCCCAATCGTCAGCAGCTGTTGGCTTACAGGGACCAAACCCAGAAGCAAAATAAGCTTATTTCTGATTGGTTTATACAGTTCACTATTACTGAAATGCTGTCAAACTTTCATGGGTCAGACAGGGTGGAAGCACTGTCAGGATCTCACTGGTCAAAGATTCCTGTCAGTATCTCATTGGTCAGGGAGGATAGCCTGATTTGCAGAAAAGGTAGGCTTAAGTTTTTGTGAAGACAAATCTTAGGGGCATTGTTCATTCCACCACTCGGGCCACCCACTGGACCACCAATACCGTTTTGTCAACCATATGACTTCATTTGCATTTCATTTAGCTGCAGATAACCGTCCCTGAGGGTTGGACTGCCAGACAAAATATAGGATGCCCAGTTATGTCCCAAATACTGCATGGGACATGCTTTTACTAGGAAAATTATCCATTTATCTGAACGTCAAATTTAGGAGTCCTGGACTGGATGGCAGTGAGTTTGCTTTTGTGTATGTATTTTAATTTGCTAAATCTGATGGTCTACTTGGAGTTTAAGCCCTCAAGCCTTTTGTGGGAGCACTCATCCACTAGTGCTATCAGCTTCACAAACATCTGATTAGAAGGCAAACACAGGGAGGACTTAGACCGAAAGGTCAGGCAAGCCTAAAAAGCACATGCAGGTGTCCTACAGTGGTTCTGTCACTACTAAAGGACTGAGGGCTGATGGGCCTGTGAAGATCTCAGTTGTTTTGTTGCTACTTGTTTCCATATCAAGGAGCTCTGGTGCTGTAGTGCCTAAGGTATCTGACTGCTAACCAGAAGGCTGGCGGTTCAAACCTGCCAGCCACTCCATGGAAGGAAGACTGGGCAATCTACTTCTGTAAAGATTCACTGCGTTGAGGTGATCCTCAATTTATAAAAGTCAAAATCGACTGGATGGCAGTGAGTTTGGTTTGGTTTGTTTCCCTATCTGTCCCCCAAATATATGACCAGGATTACTGTCCTAGCCTGTGAGGCCCTCCAGGACATCTCTGCCTGGACACAAGTCAGGAATTGAAAATAAGAATGGCCTTCACTAACTCAAACCAGTCTATTGAGTTTCGCTTTTCAGTCCTGGCACCCTGCCTCCGTCACCCTGCCTATTCAGAACCTGTATCTGCGTTCTGGTGGCCCCTCCTCTGGGCAGGGGGACGGCGTGGCCACGCCCCAGTTTGTTATCCGATACTTTTCTGGGTCAGCTGGTGCTGGCGTCAGAAGGAGGGATGGGCTGGCTCAGCTCGACCCGGCAGGGCTTGTTTACTATGGCTGATGATCTGGAGCAGCAGTGAGTTAATCCTGTCTCTTTCTCTTTTTCTCTCTCTCTCTGGGCCGTGACCCCGGGACTGTCTGTGGCTGAGGAACAGTTTTAGACACCTTCCCGCCTTTCCTCTTTCAGGTTGGCTTTGGGGGAGGACTGGTGTTTGCGTGTGCTTGCTTTGCTTTTGCCCGGAGGAGGCTGCAGCAGAGCCTGGGGAATGATGGCAGATAAACTTGCCTGCAGCTCAGCCGTTCTGACTTTTCACCGTAGGCTTTGCACTAGCTCCTCATGTAGTCTCTGTACTTAAGGCATTGGACTTGGTAATGATGTCTGAGATCCCTGGAAGCAAGTCTGTGGGATGCGGATGCGGGGGTGGCAGCCAGGTGTGCTTGTCTCGACTTGCCTCACCAGGTCCCTGTCGGTGTGGGAAGAGCATCCTTTTGCCCAGCAAAGAGAAGGCATGGGAAGAGAGGGGCCGTCTCCACCACTGGGACTGGACTGTAGTAATGGGCATACAAGTTTCTTTAGCCCTCCTCCACAGAAACGCTTAGCTGCTTGTGATTCTAGTTGATAATGGCTTTAATCATAACTATTTCTAACGCAGTGGTTCAGAACTAGAGCTATTTTAGGATTCATTGCGACTGTCCCAATGGCATCAAGTTTGGGAGCCACCTGTAGGTGGTGTGACGGCCAGTTGATAGGAGCAAGGAAAAGTTGCTTTGAGAAGAATGACTCAGCTCCCAGCCAACCCCTTGGTTTCACAGGAACAGGGCCTTTCCTGGACTCCATGGGCCTCCTTTTCATAGAGGTAGAAGTGGCAGCCTGCAAAGATCATTAACTTTGTGACAATAATAGTTTCTTGGGCTTGAAGAAAGATCTGTGATGGCACAGTGGTTAAAGCGTTCAACTGCTACTGAAAGGTTGGCGCTTTGAACCCACCAGCTGGTTGGTCTGTGGAAGAAAGATATGGGAGTCTGCTTTTGTAAAGATTTCAGTGTTAGAAACACTATGAGATGTTCTGTTCTGTCCTATAGGGGTCGCTATGAGTCTGAATCAACTCTATGGCAATGGGTTTGGTTTTGGGGTGGGCTTGAAGGAGCTGCCCAGGAGAGAGCTGCTTTCTAAGATGACTTCCAAAAGGAAATTTACAGTACCTAAAGTGACTCAGGAAACAGGAGATACTAGAGCAGGAAGAGATGAAGAGAGTTTAGCTCCTTCTTAAAAATGAAGAAGCCCATAGACATTAGGAGACTTATAGGAGACATGCCCAAGATTACAGAGGTCTAGAACAGCCTTCTCATCCAGCACAGAACCCTTTCTGCTTCACCTTGCACCCATGATAAAAGAACTCTAGAGGAAACAGACCACCCTGGCCAGGCTAAGTGGCTTCTCTGTTCCTTGCTTCAGTTTCCCACCACAGCCCACACCTCCCCCACAATACTGAGCAGATACAGCATACCAGGCACCATTTCTGGTGCTTTAAGTGGAATGTTTTTAGTGAAGAAAAGAGGCAAAGGAAAGCTCCCTGAAGCATCTACTGAACAGCCCACTGCACTGTCCCGTGGGACAACATTTCTTCTGAGTTCTGTTTTGGGTATATACAGGGCAATATGGGGTCCAAATGTTGTGGTCTGATTTGTCACCCGCTATATGGCGTTACCTGCTAAATGATCATTCTGTTGCACATAGGATGTCTGTGCACTGGAGCCAACTCAACAGCGCCCAACAACAGCAACAACAAACAATGTGGAGAGAAAGTTTACCTCTAACTTCAAAAATACACCCAGTGCCGTCAAGTTGATTCCAACTCGGCAACCCAAAACGACAGAATAGAACTGCCCCATAGGATTTCCAAGGCTGTCAGTCTATATGGATGCAGACTGCCACATCTTTGTCCTGAGGAGCAGCTGGTGGGTTCCAACCACTGACCTTTCGGTGAGGAGCTGAGTGCTTAACTGCTGCACCACCAGGACTCCTTACCTCTTCCTTGTTGTTGTTGTTGTTGTTTGCCGTCGAGTCGGACCCGACTCATAGCGACCCCTCCTTAAGACTGGCAAACATTCTATGGACTTGATCCCATGCTCCAAGCCTATAAGGAATTCTAGTAGAGTATTACAAGGGATCTGAGTCTCCCCAGGATTAAATTGCTTGAGACTAACTCTTATTGGGCTAAAGCCATTAATGTACTACTCTCACCTGCAACCTCAGTATTTCTTTCAAACTTCAAACATTCACTGAGAATTGCAATTTGCAAAACATTGAGAATGTGGACAAAGCTTATGATTTAACTGGGGAGAAAAAAATGTTTATTGAGAGTGTGTCCTGTGTTAGGCATTATCCTAAGTGGTTTAGATGAATTAACTCATTTAATCCTTAAAACAACCCTCGAGGTAGGTAAAGAGCTCTGGTGATACAGTCCTAAGGCATTTGACTGCTAATCAGAAAGTAGGCAGTTCAAACCCACCAGCCATTCTGCAGAAAGAGGATGAGGCAGTCTACTTCTGTAAAGACTTAACACCTCGGAAACCCAGTGAACATCGCTATGAATTAGAATCAGCTCAGTGGCAGTGGGTTTAACTTGGTTTTGGTATGAGGTAGATACTATTACTACCTCCCTTTTAATGGTGAGGAAATTCTGACAAAAAAGCTAAATACTGTGCCCAAAGTCACATTGCTGGTAAGTGGCAGTACCAGGAATAGAATGCTGGCCTTCTGGCTTTAGATCCCAGTTTCTAACCATTACTAAGCCTTATGCTTCCCCAGATACTCAACAATGTAATGTGTCATGGATTATGTACTGCATGTGTGGTACAGACCAGTATTCAGGAGTTCAAGGATGGTGGAATCACTAGGCTAGAGTGTGGGTGAGACTTCAGTGCTGAACTGAGCTCTGAAGAGTAGATAAGCGTGGATGATTGAGAGTATCCTAGGTAATAGGACATAGGTTAGGAGGCCTGATGCACAGTGGTTAAGCTCTCAGCTGCTAACCAGAAGTTTGACACCAGCCACTCCATAGGAAAAAGATGTAGCAGTCTGTTTCTGTAAAGATTACAGCTTTAGAAACCATACAGGGAAGCTCTACTCTGTTCATCTTGATGGCAATGAGTTTAGTTTAGGAATTGGATCTACAAAGGTGTAGAGACAGGAATATGACCATTTTAATTCAGATCCACTGTAGGAATGAAGATGAATAATGAAAAGTTGGAGAGGTGAGTTGAAGTTGACCTTTAAAGAGTCAGGACTGCATTCTGTAGCTATTGCGTAGTCACTGAGGTATTTTGAGCAGGGACCTGTGAACACTGGCATAGTCAAGGCAGGGACATTCTTTGGAGGAGCAAGGGGAACATGACCAAACTTCCATCGTGCACATGGGTCTTCCTGATGCATCATTTGAAGCAAGGAGTTTTAAATTAGGATGGATCCTTATAAATCATCTAGTCCAATCTCTTCATTTTATAGGTGAGCAGACTGATGCCCAGAGAGGTCATACAGCTACTTAGAAAAAGACCCAAACTAGAACCCAGACTGCAAATCCCGATTTCTCAGTACCCCTTCCCTAGATCATCCAGCCACCCCACCCCCTTTTAAGAGCATACACAAATAGGGTAGATAACCACATTTCCAAACTTGTCTCTGTTTCTGAAAGGAGGTGTGACTAAGGGCAGGGCAAGGCTTCATGGTGATCACAGACAACTCTTGGCCCCTCCTGTAGTTGGTGATGCCCACCCTATAACCACCTTTATCCAGGCAGTTCAAGAAGAGAAATATCATATGAGATGAAAAAGGAATAATAAAAACTGCCATTTATTGAGCATCTAATTTGTGATTCAGATCCGGATGTTTGTTATTCCAAAACTCAGGCTTTTAACCTCTACCCAGCAGTGACTTAAAGTCTTCTGGGTATGAAGGAAAAAGCAAGGCGGGTTATCTTATTTGTTTTACTGCCTCCCATGGGAGGTGAGGATATAAAATGAGCATTCTACTCATTTTATAATCTGAAAACAAGGCCAGAGCCAACTGAACCATGTTGTTGTTGTTATGTGCCGTCAAGGCAGACCTGACTCATAGCAACCCCTCCTTGGGTTTCCAAGGTGGTATCTCTACGGAAGTAGATTGCCCAACTTTCCTTCCGAGGAGTGGCTGATGGGTTTGAACTGCAGTCAAGTGCCTTAGGCACTACGCTACCAGAGCTCCTTGTTATGTTGTTATGTGCCATCGAGTCAAACCCGACTCATAGCGACCCCTCCTTGGGTTTCCGAGGCAGTATCACTACGGAAGTAGGATTGCCCAACCTTCCTTCCGAGGAGTGGCTGGTGGGTTTGAACCACCAGCCGTCTGGTTAGCAGGCAAGTGTCTTAGCCACTATGCTACCAGAGCTCCTTAGCAAGATGCAAATCCAGGTCTCCTGCTCCCTGCCTACTCCATCTTTGTTTGGTGTTAGACTGATTACCTGTGCACCCAGTTGGTCACTGACACAATGCTCTGTGTTTCTAGGGGCTTGGAGATTGGAGCACTCAAGCACTAGGACCCTGCCAGGAGGGCAGGTAGCATGGGAATTCATCTATGCTGCCCTAAAGAACATCTAGTCCTACGGCTAGCAAAAGATAACTGCAGGATCAGTTGCTTTTTCCTTTTTCATTTAATCTCCTAGAATATAAAATATAACCATTAACAAAGGAGACTGTGAAGCTTAACTGAGATAATAAATGTAAAAGAGCTTTGTAAACTGTAAAGTGTTATGCATGTGATATTCTAGTATCTATTGAAACAAGGGGCATGTTGTACAGAATCATTTATCAGAGAGAGTTAACAGTTTATCAGGCAGCCAGGGAATTGCTGACTGGCCTAGGGAGGCCAGGAAACACCCTGCACCCTGAGGAAACTTTTGTAACTGTCAGCAAGGCCGAGAGCATCAATGTTTCCTCTAATTTGCCCTTGACTGTCTCTTATGTTTCCCTGTCCCAGGCCTCAAGGCTGGCTGAGTAGCTGGCTACCTGCTTGGCGCCCCACGTCTATGTCACAGCTGAAGAATGTGGAAGCAAGGATTCTCCAGTGTAAGTAGTAGGGACAGTTATCCCACCTCATTCAGGAGGCCCAAGAAGGATACAGGATCTGCCCAAGGCCTAGTGCACTGAGCTAACTGATTCCTGATTAACAGTGCTTAGGGTGGGAGGAAGGGATGGCTATGATCTAAGAGAAGGCATTCATACAGAGGACACCATATTCTGTGATAGTCGTTCCTCAATTTCTCCCTCCCTAACCATCGCACTAGTTCTTACCCCAGTTACAACTTTCACCGCAAACACTATACCAACTTTTAATACACAGTACATACAAGCATACATGTTCTCTCCTTCCCTCCTTCCTTCTCCTCCGCTCCTATCTTCTTCTTTCTCTTCATCTCTCTTACACACACACAAGCACATCTTAGATTTATCACCTTCCCACCAAGGACTGCCAATCTTGCATTCTGTAGTATTATTCTGCATGTTCTATGCCCCCCCCCATACTTACCTGGTCATCACAGTAGGTTGTGATTCCCACAAACCAACTCACATGGACAGTTTTATGTTGGAGCAGGTCATCTCATGGGCAGTATTAGCCACTGCCCACTGCCCCAGCCATGGTCACCCTCTCTCTTTTGGGCTTGAGTAAGTTCAGTGGCACAGCAGCCACAGCTCTTAGGACTCTGTCCAGGATCCAGGCTATTTCATCTTGACCTCTATTATGTGACTACTAGGCATTTGACTTCCAACCAGAAGGCTGGCAGTTCAACCCTGACAGCCACTCCTCAGAAGGAAGATTGGACAATTGCAATCTACTTCCATAGTGTTACCACCTCAGAAACCCAAGGAAGGGTCGCTGTGAGTCAGATCCTACTCGACAGCAGTGAGTTTAGTTTTTGATGAGAGCCAGTAGAATGAGTATTGACCCCCTCCACCACCTCCAGCTACCTGTTTCTGGGTTTTGGTGTCAGTTCTTGCCTCCTGTCCCAGTTCAGTGTCTAATAATAAGCCTATGGCTCAGTCCACACCATTAGTCCCTCTACCTAACTGGACTCCAGTCAGAAGCTGCCTTCCCAGATATCCTCAAGAGCACAGTTCTTTCCAACTGTCAAACCCCAAGCACACAGAATGATGGGTTCTGTGGAGTCAGTGGTGTAGCTGTCACCTCAGGCTCAAAGGGAACTAGGCAAACAGCCTGAGGGCATAAGAGGGCCCTCTTATTACCTACAAATTCAGCTTGGAATTGATCTCTTTAGGGTATGTGTTCAGAAGGTTATGAAAGGAAAGCAGTGAAGGAGGTAAGGAAGGGTTTGGGAATGGAGAAAGAACTCTGAAGAGTGGTAAACCCACTGCCATCAAGTTGATTCTGACCCATAATGACCCCCATTGGATTTCCAAGGTAGTAAATCTTTAAGGAAGTAAATTGCCCCATCTTGCTTCCATAGAGTGGCTAGTGGGTTTGAACATTCAACCTTGTGGTTCGTAGTCAAATGCCTTACGCACCGCGCCACCAGAGCTCCTTCTGAAGAGTGATAGTCCAGGCAACAAGACAGGAAGTAGTCTTGTTGATTTGTCCTGGTATTCTCCCCTCCCCAGGTCTCCAGAACAAGTTCCTGGCCCGATACGTGTCCCTCCCAAACCAGAACAAGATCTGGACGGTGACTGTGAGCCCCGAGCTAAAGGACCGCACCCCTCTGGTGATGGTGCATGGATTCGGGGGCGGTGTGGGCCTCTGGATCCTCAACATGGATTCACTAAGTGCCCGCCGCACACTGCACACCTTTGATCTGCTTGGCTTTGGGCGAAGCTCAAGGCCAACATTCCCAAGGGATCCAGAGGGGGCTGAGGACGAGTTTGTGACATCAATAGAGACATGGCGGGAGACCATGGAGATCCCCAACATGATCCTCCTGGGGCACAGTCTAGGAGGATTCTTGGCCACTTCTTACTCTATCAAGTACCCTGAAAGGTAGAGTGGAGCCACCCCTTTTGCTCATGATCTAATTGCCTTGCTGGAAACTTTCCAGTATTAGTCTCCAATAGTTCTCTCCTTTCCAAGTGATTAAGGGTTACGGTACTTTCTAGCTAATGTAACTTGTCTTCTCCTTTCTCCTGCCATTAATGTAGAGTTAAACACCTCATCCTGGTGGACCCATGGGGCTTTCCCCTCCGACCAACTGACCCTAGTGAGATCCGGGCACCCCCAACCTGGATCAAGGCTGTGGCCTCTGTCTTAGGGCGTTCCAATCCATTGGCTGTTCTTCGAGTAGCTGGGCCTTGGGGTAAGTAACTTGCAGAAGAAGAAACTATCTCCTTAAACCAGGGCTGTCCCATTCTAGAAGCCCCACTGCTTCTAGACTCCACTATCCCTCCTTATTCATGAAAACTGAGGATGGACCTGTGGACTTACTAGCATTATTATTTAAAGCTATTAATCTGGACTAGATCTTTTTGTTTGAGGTTTCGGATGACTCTTTTTTCTTTCATCTACATGGAAAAAGCTTTCCTGTGCAAGGAAGCTTTCCTACACAAGGGAGGAAAAACTACTGCATGCCTTGGCTGGACTTCCAGGGAGAGGAAAGGGCCATGGGCTGACTCTTCCTCTCCTGAGTTGTTAGGCTACATGTATGAATTCTTATGCCAGAGAGTTTCTGATCTGGCCCTGGTAACCACCATTGAGTCCCATCTCCACAGCTCACCCAGCATTTCTAGTAGGAAGAGTCAGAACCAGAGCCTCCAACACCACCCATAGCAGCAGGCAAGCCCCTCTAACTATGTCTTGCTCCAGGCAGGCACCCTATATTCATCTGCTCATCACTTAGCACTTAGTTACTAATAACCAATTGCTGTGAAGTCGATTCCAACTCATGTGGCCCCAGGTGCGTCAGAGTAGAAATATGCTGATTTTTCAGAAATAGGTTTCCAAGCCTTTCTTCCAAGGTGCCTCTGGATGGACTTGAACCTCCAGCCTTTGGGTTAGCAGTAGCCATCAGCTAATTCTGTGAGTGAAAGAGAGGGAAGAAGTCAGGGAGGGGATGGAGAAGACAGCCAACGTGAGCATTATCTGTAGTTGTAGGTCTTCTGACCTCACCCTGTCGGCACCTTTCCCTTCTGAGTGAAAAGCATATTCCCTTTAGGCAAGAGACTGGTAACCTCGATCTTGTATTGATGCCTTCTGTATATACAGTAACATTCAATAGCCAATTGTTAGGAGTTAATTGCCAGCCAACGTCCCAAACATAATAGCTCTGATGTCCATGCATGAACCTGGCCAAATGCAAGGGCAGAAAAGTTGAGAGTGGCTACAGCAGAGCATCTCCCTAGGGAAGGATTATAGTCTGGTGGGAACTGTACAATGGTGGGAACCCTGAGGTCAGCCTCTGCCCACTTACTCTCCTTTGGTACCTGAGTTCTTGCTGTTCTTCCTTTCTCCCCCAAACTCCTAAACCTTTACCTTCTACCCAAATGCTAACTTCTCTCTTTTATCCGGAGCCTGTTTTTTTTAAAGGGCTTAGAGAGACAACTCGTATTCTGTTACAGGCCTGAAAATGAGAGGGCTCTTGGGAGGTGGTCTAGTTTCATCTGCTGCCTTCAGAAGAGAAAAGGCCACAAGGGTCTCAGGGAGAATGAGAACTTAGCTCAGACTGTAAAAGAAAAGCATTTGAACTGTAGACTTTTGTGACACTTGTGATCCTTGGAGGAAAAGATCCCGGGACTTCCCTGAGCTGAAAATAATCGGTCCTCAGTGTTGTTAACTAAATTCTTTGGTCACCAACTCACTCTGTATTTGCAGTCATCTGGAGCTTCCCAATAGAACCTCACTCTTTAAATGTGGAAAGGAAACAAACAAGCCCTGAGCAGAAAGACTGTTCAGTTCATTATTAGAACCATACATGAGCAGGAGAGTCTTGTTCTCCCATCAAAGCCAGCCATTCCATGTTTTTGTAACCCCTTCCAAGGGCCTGGACTGGTTCAGCGATTCCGGCCAGACTTCAAGCGCAAGTTTGCAGACTTTTTTGAAGATGATACTATATCAGAATATATCTACCATTGCAATGCACAGAATCCCAGGTAAGGACTGGTCCCAGGGAAGACAGATTTAGAGCTAAAACTCTAACTGCTGAGAAACTCAAGAACTATCCCAGGACCAGTCTTCCAGAAAGCCCTGCCTGACTCAATTAGGGGAAAACAGGCAGTGGGTTTGCTCATTTCCAAAGAGTTCCACTGGAATAGGCACAATGGGATGCAGAAGCTAATACATTTAGACCTCACTTATTGACTGTCTTAACTGACATTTAGCATGTACTGCAACTTTGAAAAAATTCTCAGGGGGTTCCTTTGATGGTCCGAGCCCCATGCAGGGCTGCAACCAGGCCCAGGGCTCCCTCTTCAGGTCACCCCAGGTGATTTGCTGGACACTCCAGTAATGACTAGGCCACATGAGGGACAGTGGTCTTCTGGCCACAGGATGCATCTCCCATTCATCTACACCATCTCAGTCTGACCATGGTGGGCACGAGGTGACAGTGGGACAATGTGAGGTTGCAAGCAGGCAAGGGGAGGCTGGGCAAGGGCCCAAACATGCCAGAGAAGTCAGTGGGGGGAGGCAGAAAGGAGAGCAGAGGGAAGGGGACTACTGCTCAGGACCGCAGGGGCCGGGGTGGACAGCAACCAAGTGGGGTCCCTACCCAGGGCAATGGCGGGAGGAAGCAAGTACAGGACAAGGTAGATTCCTGCTGAGGGCAAGAGGTGGCAGGCAGGGGGCAATACCCTACCACTGCCACCACCACCACCCTCATCTTCTTCAGGGTCTGCAGTGGTGGGGAGGGCATGATGGGGAAGAGGGGCCCACAACACCATGTGCATGCCAAGAGTGCCCAACAGGTAGTGAGTGATGGATAGTAGTGAAAGGTTGTGAGTGATGGATAGTAGTGAAAGGGGGCAGGGACACCAGCACTGAAGACAGGACACACCCAAATGTCACTTCTGAGTGATTTCACATAACAACCTGGTCTTTGCAACCTAACCATGTTGATAAATGAGGAGTGGATGTAGATAATTAAACATGCTATCTATCTCTAGAGGAAAATCCTTACTGTTCCTCTAGAAACAAGCAGTTATCCCAATACGTAAGAGTCTGGAAACATTAAAAATGATCTTTTTTTTCCCCCTCCTCTTTTTAATTTCCTCTTCCTTTTTTTTTTTTTTTTAATTGAAAAAGTCATATGAACCTGGTATTTTTTTAAAAGGCGTGGGGGACTCTATGAAAGGTTATAAAATAAAAAGCCTTTTTCTGCCCCAGGCCTGCAATTCCCCAACTTGCTTTGGTATTTCCAGTCTCTCACGTGATTTGTTTCCAAGAACATCTGTACACATGTGCCTTTGTACACATATGTGGCTATGTCTATAGAATACATTCCTACAAACAGAATTGTTGCATGAAAGATTATTCATTTTAAAATTTGATTTAGGGTGATTTGAAAAATTCTTAGTGGGATAGAACTTCCTTCCAGATTTTGGAGCGTCCTCAAAATCTTGCAAAGCTCATATTTACTTACACAGCTGGCCCCACCAGCCTGCTGATCTGAGCCTTGGCAACTGTGGCAGCCAGGGCCGAGCCAGGGAGGTAATCTTCCTCTGTGGCAGTGCCCTGTGAGTGACTGATACCATGAGGCTGTGTGGGCAGCACTGTTTCTATGGAGACCTCACCACGAGCTGCCAGGAGACACCAAGGAAGCCAAGGTCACTGGGAGCAGCAGCACTTCCCCACCTTTTCCAAGCCATCCAAGTCTCCCATTGTGAGCCCATAGCCATGGGGAAGGTGGGGGTTTGCATTCCAACTGTACTGTCTGAGTATTAGCCTCAAATCCAGACAGCTTTTTTTGGTTAGCATGGGAGTGTCTATCCAACATTCCACATGAGCTCAGCTAATGGGAGGGCCCCAGTTAAGCAGCAGAATAGGAACCCTCAGCTCAACAGTCAAGTCAGGTAGCCCTCTAGCGTCCTGTTCTCCACTCAGTCGCCAATGGGCTCAGTGCCAATCTCTTACCCACTGGAGGCCCCGCATGCCCAACAAAGTCCTTTTCTCAGAACTCTTCCCAGCCTCAGACCTAGTTCTGTCCAGATAATGTCCCAGTCTAAGCCACAGTATACCTAATCCTGCAACCCATTTGTGTCCTGGAGGAAGCACAGATGACGTCAGTGATATAGTCATAACCAGCCCACTAGCTCTCAAACACCATCATTCAATTTTATAACCCCTTGAGTTTTTATGAGTTGTAACCCAGATAAGAGTGCAGAAACTCTTTATGATTCCTTTAGAAAACAGGAACTTTGGCCAAGGGAAAAGTATTTTGCGGGGGTACCTGTTAGCTTCACCTAATCTTAGGAGCTGTGTATATATTTTCACTTTCCACACAATGATCTTGTAAAATGGGTATAACTATTTCAAGTTCGTAGATGTGAAAATAAAAGTATATTCTGATTATATAACCTTCTAAGAAAACATAGCCAGGATTTAAATTCATGCCTATCTAACTTCAGAGTCCATAATTTTCCTACTATGCTGTGATATCTCAAGGAAGAATTTAAATTGCTGGTGGCCTAGGCAAAAGTTAGGTGGCCCTTCATCCTAGAAGTGTGAAGTATACCAGGGAAATAACTACACTGAACAAGCCAAACCTGGTAGGTGGCAGTATCTTAAACATCCCCTGCCTTCCACAAAAGCTACAGACTAGCCCAGAAAGCTGGCTTCTGTCCCAGCTTTGGAGACCACCCCATGTGATATGGTCTCAATTAGTTCTACTAAGGAAGTGCACAGGGAGTAAAGTAGATTAAATTGGCATTTGTTGCTTCTCACTTAGCACAAACTGCTGCACCCCCTGGGTCCTTGTAAGACTGAATTTTTAATTCCAGAGTCTCCCCAGGAAGCCCTTTTCACTGAGTTCTATAGCACTTACTCCTCAGATTTCATCTTAGATGTCTTCCTCCCGAGTAGCTTCCCTAGACCCACTCCTTTCACCCCCCCACCAGGCTAAGTCCTCTGGTCTGTGTTCTCATAGCATTTGACCACACTCTCACAATTCTTGGGAAATGTCATGTGAAATAACTAGTCGTTTAATACCTACCTCCCTGAAAAGTATAAGCTAAAATGTGAGCTCCAGGAGGAAAGGCCCCATTTCTGTCTTGTTCATCTGTCCCCAGGCCCCAGTCCCCAGCCCCCATCCCAGAGTGTGACACACAACTATTTGTTGAATAAATAACCCATTCCATTGTTGGACAGTTACCACTGCCATGGGTTTTTTCATAAGTATGTCCCTCCTAACTCTTCTGTGATAGAGGACCTCTGAGGATTCCGTTCTCTATCTCCTAATCTTACCAATATTTATTAAGCTCAGTGCTGGGCTTTGAGAGGAACACAATGACTAAGATAGTGCCCCAGCCTCTGAAAAAGCCAACAAGTTGGCATTTGATGCTATGGGGTTTATTCTATTAACCACCTCAACCCTGTTTTTCTTTTGTCAGTGGTGAGACAGCATTCAAAGCCATGATGGAATCCTTTGGCTGGGCCCGCCGCCCCATGTTGGAGCGAATTCACTTGATTCGAAAAGATGTGCCCATCACTATGATCTATGGGGCCAATACCTGGATAGATACCAGCACGGGCAAAAAAGTGAAGATGCAGCGGCCTGATTCCTATGTCCGGGACATGGTATGTTGAGCCACTTAAGGAGTGGGAGTTAAGGTGAAAATTCTCTGAGTTAAATGTCAGCACATTTTTATTAACTGTCAAAATAGATGAGCCTGGGGTCAGTGAAGAGAGAGTGACTCAAGGAAAAAGGTGTGGGCAGATTGAGGTAGAGCAGTGGATTTGAAAAGGTAGAGGCTTCCCACCTCTGTGTAGCCCAGTTCAGCTAAAAGGCAGGTCCAGTGGCCAGGTACAAACATCATGCTGCCACTCCATCCAACCACCCAAAATCAGAGTCAAAATCACTAAGCCTTCCCACCACATTTCTGCCTTCCCTTCTTTCTTACACCATTCCAACCTCTTTTGCCAATACCCTCTGCCATCGAGTCAGTTCCAATTCATAATGACCTTATAAGACAGTGTAAAACTGCCTTATAGGATTTCCAAGGCTGTAAATCTTTACAGAGCAGACTACCTTGTCTTTCTCCCATGGAGCAGCTAGTGCATTGGAACCACCAGCCATTCAGTCAACAGCCAAATGTGTTGTTGACCACTATGCCACCAGAGCCCCTTCATTTGCCAATAGCGTGCTTAATTAGGCTGGATACTACCTGATCTTTGGATGAGCTGAACAGGTCACTGGTGGGCTAACATGGAAGGGTAGATACAAGAGAAGGGCCATGGGAGAAGCAGAATGACATATTGGGAGGCATTGATTCCCATAGGAAAGTGCCAGGATTAGGGGAGAAATGTGAGTCATTGTTTCTGATAAGTGCTAATAGGTGACAGACAAGTGGGTCTGAGGAGAAAAGAAATAATAGGACAGCTGTCTCTAGTCACTGGAATTAAGGGCCACCCCACCACTAGCAGTTCCTCTCTCTACAGGAGATTGAGGGTGCCTCACACCACGTCTATGCTGACCAGCCACACATCTTCAATGCTATGGTGGAAGAGATCTGCGACTCAGTTGATTGAGCTACTCTGCCTAGAGGAAGAGGAGAGAGCCAGAGAGAGTCTCTCTCGCCTCCCTGTCTGCTTACTCACCCCCTCTGTCCTTTCCCTCACCAACTAACATGTGCCAGCCAGGCAGTCAGTCTTAAGCTGTCCCAGGGCAGGATCATAGTGAAAAAGAGCTCTCCTGACCCCATGCTGAGGGCTGGAGGCAGAAGCCACAAGAAGCCTTGAGCTCCCACCCCTGGAAAGAACATAAAGGGTTGCACAACGCCACCCCATTCTCTCCATGCCAAGTGTTTACCCAGGTGATGGTTGTGAAGGGATCGCACTGAGCCACATTCCCTCTCTGTGCCAAAGGGAGGATACCCTCTCTTCCCTAGGCAAAGGAGAGGTTCCCAGCATCCTCTCTCAGCTTTGGAGTGTTTGTGGGGATAAGTTCCATGCAAGAACATCTTCCTACATCACCCACCCACCCCCTTTCCCTTTCCCATGCCAGTTCCATCCAGGGTCTGGCTGGGACCAGTTTCCACTTAACTACCAAAAGCAGGTCCTCGAGCTCCCTTGACCTTCAGAGTCTGTTCTATAATCTGAGAAATCACAGCTAAAGCCTTTGTTGACAAATGAGGAAATAGGCCCACCAGGGCAGAGCCTGTGCATGATCACACAGCTCTGTGAGATAGAAGTCCACGCAGAGCTAAAGCCAGAACCAGGTGCACTGACACCCAGTGCTCACTGCACAGTCCATTTGCTAAGCTTCTGAGCAAGCACCATTGCCATGTGACTGGTGCTGGTCCTGGCCAAGGACAAGCCCACCCCTGCCCTTGCATTGCAGCCCTATTACAAGGGTGCTGTTGTCCTGCCCTACATCTCAGCTCTGGCTGCTAAGCCAGGGACACTCAAGTGCTTCCTTCTGTGCCCCCTCTTTCCTCCCAAGTGGGAGGTCTTTGGGTCTCCCTCTGTGCCTTGGGCCCCCGGAAGCCCCACATGTCGTATAGAGCAAGGGTGGCCCCTGGTGGAGAGATGGGAAAAGGTCCTTTAGCCTCACAGCCATGTCTGGATTCCCCCTGCCCAGTATTATCTAAGGGGCTTTTCTACCAGCCTCAGAGCTGAGGCCCACCTTGAGACCCCGCCAAGGGTCCACTAGGGAGCCTCGAGCCAGCAGAGTCCCCTGTCCTCATCAGCTACAGGGTGGTTCTCACTGCCTGACCTCCATCTCTTCATCTGTCCCCAGGGTCTCCAGCTCATTCCCACCTCCAACCTACGTGTCACCCCTTTCCCTGGGGCTGGTTCCAGATACTGCTCTAAGGTTCTGAGCATTTGGCTGGGCCTGGCCCCCAGAACCAGGGCAGCTCTTGCCTGTTTCTTCACTTTTATAAACTCAACCCTCTCACCAGTATAGTATTAACTCCTGGTGCTTTGTACTATTGGTCCAGCTGCCTTGGACTCCTTTTCTATATTAATAAAGAAATGAGTGAAAACTGCTGGCAGTGATGATGTTTAATACTGTTCTGACAAGAGTGCTGGGATAATACTGGATTAACAACACCCTATGTGATGTCTGAATCAGAAGGGAGCCCCAAAAGATACTGGCTTACACTCCACTCTCTCTTCCATTAGTTTGCTCACTAGACCAAGCCCAGACTCCAGGTCAGCACAGCACATGCAATTTTATATATAAAAGTGCAAGTGAAAAGCAATTTATGAGCAGTGAGGAAGGCCTCCTTGCAGAAGTGATGACTGAGCTGAGCCCTAAGGAAGTGTAGGTGAAGGAGAAAGGAGTATCCATTTGGAGGGAACAGCAAGCACAAGAGCCTGTTGGCAGGGAAGGTGGCTGTGAAATGAGATTGAGGAGGTCAACAGAGACCAGCTAATGCAGGCCCAGTGGGCCATGTGAAGATTGGGTTCATCCTAAAACCAATGGGAAAAAAAATCACTGATATGATGGTCAGGGTGGGGTGGGGAGTGTAACAAAATCAGACTTCAGATTTGAAAAGACCACTCTGTAGAGTACCAGTTAGTGGGAAGTGAGTCTTTGAAGGAGAACTTTGATGTTATTGCAATGGTCCAGGCAAGAAACACTGGTAGCTTGGATTTGGCTAGTGGCTAATGGAAACAGAAGGAGAAAAATGCAAGACGTGTTTAGGAGGTAAAATCAAAAGGGCTTGATGTCAGCGGATACTGTGTAGAACAAGTCTGAACGTGTCATTGGTGCAAACCCAAGCATTTTTGATGGTCTTTAGTAGAAACATGCAAGAAAAGCCCATCATGGAGTCTTGATGTCAACACTGATTGATGATACCACCCTCTTGAAAAATGGACCTAGTGAAGCAGCAGTTACCAAACCTGCTTGCATAATAGAACAGCCTGGGATGTTGTATTTTTAAATATAAATTCCTAAGCTGTATTCCCAAGAATTTGTCATTAGATCTGTATGCAATCTGACCATGAAATCTGCATTTTAAACACATTCCTTGGAGATTCTGAGGCTGTCTGTCTGCAGGCACTGGTCTAAGGGACCCTGTGTATCTGACATTTGATTCAGGGGGCTCTGTGCCCTAGAAAGATCATCCTATTTGCTCCAGAGTCACTTCTGAAAGGGCTATACAACACGTTCATCTGGTTCTCTCCAAACTCAGCAAGATGCATACACATTCCTTGGGACAGCTGAGGAAGGTCACTCAGAGTGCCATGTTTGTACTACCAGGCCCACCTACAGGCACACATGCCAACAAACATACACACTCTGTCTGAGGGGCATTCCTAACATTCCTAGGGCTGAGACTAAGAAATCACAGTGAACACACCACCAAATCAACATTCCTGGTGGGTCCTAAGAATTTATGGAGACAGTTCAAGCCATAAACTTAGGCCCTCCAAAGGCCTAGAAATTTACAAGGAGAGATTCCATAGATAGACATAAAGGACTGTGACTTGACTTAAGGTCCAGGAGGTGTTGACCTGTTGTTCAGTGACTAGCAGGAAATGTGCTAAGTTTAACTTCTTCCTGGGAATAGACACCAAAATACTTGTGCTAAAAATGCAGTCTAGTTTCATAGCCAAGAGGGTAATGATCTCTCTATTTCCTCCCTCCACTCTGACATACCAGTCTGTAAGCTCACAACCACAGATACAGTTCATGACCAGATAGAAGACAACCCTGCTTTAGCTGATAATAAACATAATGTCTAGCAAATGGTACAAATCCATTAAATGGTGAAGAGATCATCTCTTTAACAAACAGCTGGCAAAACTGAGTATCCATTTGCAGAAAAAAATGAAACAGGATCGATACTGCCCACTATGTACAAAAATTGGCTCAAGATGGATCAGACTTAAATGTAAAACCTGAAACTACAAAGATCATGGAAGTAAAAATAGGGGCAGATTTAGGGGCCCTAATTTATGGCATAAATAGTCTATCAAATATAACTAAAAGTTCACAAACAGCTGGAGATAAACTAGGTGACTGAGACCTCCTAAAAATTAAACACTTAACACATATCAAAAGACACCTCCAAAAGAGTAAAAAGAAAACCTACAGACTGGGGAAAGAAAAAAATTGGCAACAAGATATCTGACAAGGGACTACTCTCTAAAATGTTCAGAGAACTTCCACACCTCGACATCAAAGACAAAAGAATCTAGTCTATAAAATGGGGAAAGGACATGAACAGACACTTCATCAAAGAAGACATTTGGGCAGCTGACAAATGCATGAAGAAATGGAATTATTACCCATTAACCAGAAATAAAAACAAACTTACTACATTGAGTTGATTCCAACTCATAGCAATCCCCATTGCATTTCCAAGGCTGTAAATCTTTACTGAAGCAAATTGCCTCATCTTCTGGAGAGCAGCTGGTGGGTTTGAACCACTGACATTTTGGTTAGCAGCCAAATGCCTAAACAACTACATCACCAGTGCTCCTTTATTATCCGTTACAGAAATGCAGCTCAAAACAATAATGAGATACCATCTCACCCCAGCAATGAGAGCAATGATCAAAAATCAAAACAATAAAGGCTGGTGAAGGTGTGGCAAGATTGCAACTCTCATATACTGCCAGTGGGACTGTAAAATGGTGTAAACTCTGTGGGAAATGGTATGACGCTTCCTTAAAAAGTTAGAAATAGAGATAACTTATGATCCACCAATCCTACTACTAGGTATATATCCTAGAGAAATGAGAGCTGGGACACAAATAGATATATGCATACCCATGTTCATTGCACCATTATTCACAATAGCAAAAAAGATGGAAACAACCTAAGCAACCATCAGTGGATGAATAAATAAACTATGGTACACTGGGAGCTCTGGTGGCATAGTGCCTAAGGCATTTGACTGCTAACAAGAAGGCTGGCGGTTCAAACCCACCAGCCAGTAGAAGACTGGGCAATCTGCTTCAGTAGAGATACCTGCCTTGGAAACCCAAGAAGGGGTTGCTAAGAGTCAAAACTGACTCAACGGCAACGAGTTTTTTTTGTTTTGTTTTGTTTTATGGTACATACACACAATGCAATACTATACAACATTAAGGAATAACGAGAATAATGGTCTGGTCAATCTGCAAAACAGCTAACATGGATGAACCTAGAGGACATTATGCTGAGTGTAATTGTGTTGTTTTCAGGTGCCATCGAGTCGGTTCTGACTCATAGCAACTCAATGTACAATAGAACAAAACACTGCCCTCTCCTGCACCATACTCAAAATTGTTGCTATGTTTGAGCCCGTTGTTACCGCCACTGTGTCAGTCCATCTCATTGAAGGTCTGCTTCCTTTCACTGACCCTCTCCTTTACCAAACATGATGCCCTTCTCCGGGAATGGTTTCTCCTGATAACAGGACCAGAGCACAAGAGACAGAGTCTGGCCATTCTTGTTTCTAAAGAGCATTCTGGCTGTATTTCTTCCAAAACAGATTTGTTCATTCTTCTTGCAGTCCATGGTGTATTCAATATTCTATACCAACATAATTCAAATGCCATCAATTCTTCTTCAGTCTGCCTTATTCATT